CACAATACATCCTTCTGACCGGAGCTCTCAGTGCTGACCCTGTGATCACCCATTACTTGTATTTATCCCCACATGCCTCCAGTGTGCACTCATGCCACAGTTTCACCTTTGTACTGGCCTCCTAAGGATATGGCGATGAGGATATCTGATCTGTTTGTTCAATATCGAGCAGCAATTCTGTTCATTGGGGCTCTACAAATGCTGCTGGATGTGTGTAGTGGACCTTGACAACCAATCTAACTGTACTACATGTGATGGTCTTCAGCACTCACAGGGTCTATTGTGTCAAGAGTCTGTCATAACCGCCCCACTGGCATCCGGCGTTTCAAACGTGATAGTGAGTCCTATCAAAATACCTATTTAGAAGCAGAGGAACAGCGTCTGGAATCCAAAGACAGGCTAGCATGTAAACCGTTTTGCACCATCGCCGTATACGGTAAAAGAAATGATGGTTTGAACCAGTCCCCCTGACTCGGTAACAAGAAATGTAGGGAGTAGCCATTGCTTTGCCTTCGCCATCTTTCATCCATTTTGATAAACTTTGTGAAGATATACACGACCGCCGAGAGTTTATGAATCATTCATCGAAATGAATGGCTGAAAAGCTTGAAAAAATTAGTACATTCTATAGTATAGTATATTCTATATATATAGTATATTCTATATATGACCCAAGGCTCTGTTTCACTAATAAATTTATGCTCACGTAGAACATAAGGCTGACGGAAACTCGGGGACTGCGCCTACTTGACGAGCCCCAAGAAGGGTAAAACCGGTCGTGGGATGTCGGAGAGTTTTCGGCAACCTTGTGAGTAGTGTACCACGTCTATGTAAACCAGGTTTCAAGATTTTTTAAATGAATGCCCCGCAAATGACTTCTCCAAGCACCCAATTTATAGGTCGGTGTAGTGTGATGCGCAATCCAACTTCGCCTTGCATGCCACAAATGAACATTTTGCTTCGATCGAGAATATTTATACCAAGTCCACACAATAATCTTGAAATGAGTTCTGTTTTGTCTCTAATCTGCTTGGACTGTCAGAAAGATACATGTTTCATAATACCGACCAATTTCCGGACTTCTCTTACGGTGCGTAGGAAAGAACGAGCAGTGAATGGACTGGTGGAAGTAACGACGAAAATTAAAACCACCGTGTGACTGGTTAAATCACCTATGTATCTCGTCATCCTGGTACGAATAAATCGATAGATTCCGACCTCGTTTTCCAACCCAATAAATCCTATTAGGTCTGTTTTCATGGCTGAATAAACTTTTGTTATGGACATGCTCTCTTTATAGAAACATCACTCCTTGGTTGAGCACTACTCATAAGGTTGCTAACACTTGCACAACATTCCGAGGCCGGTTTCGCTTTTTAGACTTATCGGGAAGACGCATTCCCCGAGTTTTCGTCAATGTTGTGTCCTACTCTACTTGACCTTTTACGCTCAGTACACTCAATACAATCAATGGCAAACTTATTTTGTTCTAAAGGGAGGATCTCAGCTGAGAGTGTAACATAACATAGATGGAAACTCTGGGACTGCGGTCAAATGATGGGCCCTAAGAAGTGCGAATCTGGCCTTCGTTGTCGAACTGGTTTCAGTAACCTAATGGGTGGTATTCCATCAGGAAACTACACTGTCATCCCGAATATCTTACCAAATGAAACGTGAGGCGACAACACATTCAGTTGAAGCATATCTCCATTTACAACCAAGTTATTTTGCAAGTGGATGTATTTCGCAAAGCCGTTTTCTCCTGAAAACGTTCCGAGAAGAAAACACTGCTTTCTTACAATTAAAATCCGAGTGAAAGCTTTGACTAAAACTCGTTCCACGTCAGCTGGCACATCCACTCATTGTGGTGCTAAAACGCGGCTTGGAAAGGGAAACCGCTACGCTTTTTACTCTCATGAGAACTAATCAGATTCCCATATGTGCTCAACTTCGGCACCGTGTAGCAATCGACCTCACTTGTGTGAATGGTGCACTTGAACCAGAGTTGTTGGACAATTCGGCAGCCGAAGTGACATGCTGAAAGGATTCTCCAGCAGTGCAGAAACCGAGTTGATGAAACAGTTCTTTTTTATCGACTGGTTATGTGTAAACAGTGTAGTTGCATACTAGTCTTTTCAGCTATCGGTTGTATGCTTCTAGCACGCACTTCCGTCAAGATCGATTGAGCGAGCAACACAGTAGTAATGTGGTGTGAGGCCAACTCTTATCATAGACAGGCACACACTGGAACTTTTTTCAGTCATTTTGGAATTACGACGTGTGGATGAAGCA